CTGAACTAGAACTGAACTAGAACTGAACTAGAACTGAACTAGAACTGAACTAGAACTGAACTAGAACTGAACTAGAACTGAACTAGAACTGAACTAGAACTGAACTAGAACTGAACTAGAACTGAACTAGAACTGAACTAGAACTGAACTAGAACTGAACTAGAACTGAACTGAACTAGAACTGAACTAGAACTGAACTAGAACTGAACTAGAACTGAACTAGAACTGAACTAGAACTGAACTAGAACTGAACTGAACTAGAACTGAACTAGAACTGAACTAGAACTGAACTAGAACTGAACTAGAACTGAACTGAACTAGAACTGAACTAGAACTGAACTAGAACTGAACTAGAACTGAACTAGAACTGAACTAGAACTGAACTAGAACTGAACTAGAACTGAACTAGAACTGAACTAGAACTGAACTAGAACTGAACTAGAACTGAATGAACTAGAACTGAACTAGAACTGAACTAGAACTGAACTAGAACTGAACTAGAACTGAACTAGAACTGAACTAGAACTGAACTAGAACTGAACTAGAACTGAACTAGAACTGAACTAGAACTGAACTAGAACTGAACTAGAACTGAACTAGAACTGAACTAGAACTGAACTAGAACTGAACTAGAACTGAACTAGAACTGAACTAGAACTGAACTAGAACTGAACTAGAACTGAACTAGAACTGAACTAGAACTGAACTAGAACTGAACTAGAACTGAACTAGAACTGAACTAGAACTGAACTAGAACTGAACTAGAACTGAACTGAACTAGAACTGAACTAGAACTGAACTAGAACTGAACTAGAACTGAACTAGAACTGAACTAGAACTGAACTAGAACTGAACTAGAACTGAACTAGAACTGAACTAGAACTGAACTAGAACTGAACTAGAACTGAACTAGAACTGAACTAGAACTGAACTAGAACTGAACTAGAACTGAACTAGAACTGAACTAGAACTGAACTAGAACTGAACTAGAACTGAACTAGAACTGAACTAGAACTGAACTAACTGAACTAGAAACTGAAACTAGAACTGAAACAGAACTGAACTAGAACTGAACTAGAACTGAACTAGAACGGAACTAGAACTGAACTAGAACTGAACTAGAACTGAACTAGAACTGAACTAGAACTGAACTAGAACTGAACTAGAACTGAACTAGAACTGAACTAGAACTGAACTAGAACTGAACTAGAACTGAACTAGAACTAACTGAACTAGAACTGAACTAGAACTGAAACTAGAACTGAACTAGAACTGAACAAACTGAACTAGAACTGAACTAGACTGAACTAGAACTGAACTAGAACTGAACTAGAACTGACTAGAACTGAACTAGAACTGACTAGAACTGAATAGAACTGAACTAGAACTGAACTAGACTGAACTAGAACTGAACTAGAACTGAACTAGAACTGAACTAGAACTGAACTAGAACTGAACTAGAACTGAACTAGAACTGAACTAGAACTGAACTAGAACTGAACTAGAACTGAACTAGAACTGAACTAGAACGAAACTAGAACTGACTAGAACTGAACTAGAACTGAACTAGAACTGAACTAGAACTGAACTAGAACTGAACTAGAACTAGAACTGAACTAGAACTGAACTAGAACTGAACTAGAACTGAACTAGAACTGAACTAGAACTGAACTAGAACTGAACTAGAACTGAACTAGAACTGAACTAGAACCAGAACTAGAACCAGAACTAGAACCAGAACTAGAACCAGAACTAGAACCAGAACTAGAACCAGAACTAGAACCAGAACTAGAACCAGAACTTGAACTAGAACCAAAACTAGAACCAGAACTGGAACCAGAACTAGAACCAGAACTAGAACCAGAACTAGAACCAGAACTAGAACCAGAACTAGAATCAGAACCAGAACTAGAACCAGAACTAGAACCAGAACTAGAACCAGAACTTGAACTAGAACCAAAACTAGAACCAGAACTGGAACCAGAACTAGAACCAGAACTAGAACCAGAACTAGAACCAGAACCAGAACTAGAACCAGAACTAGAACTAGAACCAGAACTAGAACTAGAACCAGCACCAGAACTAGAACCAGAACTAGAACCAGAACTAGAACCAGATCTAGAACCAAAACTAGAACCAGAACTAGAACTGAACATCGATTACGTCTACGAAGCAGATCTAAAAATTAAGACCTAACAGAAAATTGCATGTTTTGCTTATTTTCAATAATTTGCTATAAAAATTTTCAATAATTTAAAAAAATTGTAATCAACATTTATGTTAAAGAATATTAAAAACATTTTTTATTTTTACTCACCCGACTAATTAACAGAACCGTACATTTGATGTAGACTCCAAATCACTGCCACTAAAAGTTTTGAGTTATTTATGTTCTAAATTGGAATTTGTGTTTTTAGGTTTGTTTTATTTTTACCCTTTTTTTTAATCTTTTTTCTCAATAAAAGATTTATGCAAATTCACGTGTGTGTAATAATTTTTTAGATTTAAATTTTTACTGTGAGTTAGATTTAAACGAGAAATAAAAATATTATTTAGAAGACAAAACAAAAAACCGGCGCGAATAAAACACCACACTTTTTTGTTATTAGTGATAAAAATCGCAAAAAAAAAAAACAATCACTTCAACTACAGAATTTAAACAAAAAGCACGACGACATCAACCACATAAACTCATCAAAAATAATTTAAAACTATTAAAGAAAAAATATAAATAAAAAACACTCTCCCATATACACACACACCCATACACACTACCCTGCTTTTCAGAGTGTATGTACCGAAATGGCGATTTTACCTAATATTTGGAGTAAAAAAGGGACAATTGATTACTTATATGAATGAAAAAACTATTTTCAGACAAAATGTTAAAAAGGACCACTTTCTGCATTACTTGTGGGCACTAAAGTGTCTGTAGATTACTTTTGCATTACATTGGGATACTAAAGTCATGATAGACCCAAAAAATTATAAAAAATATTTTTTAAATAAAAAATCTAAAAAGGATCGTTTGATCCCTCCTAAAACTACATGGTTTTGAAAGCAATACTCGCACACACTGACAGAAAATTTATTTATGATGTTGTTGACATCAATCAATTACTTTTCAATAATTTTGTTTAATTATTTTGAATTTGTTGGAAACACAGAAAAAATATGTTTCATATTCAGACTGAGTGGCTGGTTGTGGCTGAGATGACTAAATCATGTACTCAAAAGGAAAGTAAAAGTTTAAATATATTATTTAAGTCCAGGGCAAATAGATAGATACTATGTCTAATTTATGACCACTTTCCTATCGAATTCTGAATTACTTGATCCAATTGGTGCTGTGTGTTTTTTGAAATTAAAAAACAACAGAATAAGGCCCGCTATCTCAATCTCCGGCTATCGTTATCGGTAGATATTCTGCCGGTAAAAAATGTCTGTATGAAAACTGTAATTTTAACGTTAGAATGAAAAAAATAACCAGACATTGAGATAATGGGGGTAAATCTGTTTTTAATTTAAATTTATTTAAAATGTCAATGTGTTTTACAGATTTGTTTGCCAAACAATTGTTTAAAAAACCTTTAAGGCCAATAGCAGCAGCAGCAGCGCCAGCTAGATGATGATTTAGTCTGTTGAAAATAAATCTTTTTTTTATTTTTTTTTAACTTTGCTCTATTTAAAGAAGCTATTTTGTTGTTTTGTTTGTGGTTGTTTTATTTTTCGAAAAAAATAAAAATATATTTTTATAAATTTATTTTATCGTGCAAAGAAGTGGGTGTTGATTGTTCTTAATTGTTTCTTACTGTTGTTGAAGTTGTTGTTATTTTTGTGCAATATTTATTTGTTATTTTTAGGGACGTTTTTTTTAATGTTTAATATTTATTTGTTCAGATTAAAAACCTTTTTTTTTTTTGTTTAATTAGGCGAGCGCTGTTGTTTTTTGTGAACGAACTTCTCTTACTGGCCTGTAAATAATCGAAAAAGAAAAAATTTTCGATATAATTTTCGGTTGTTTTCAAATGAAATTTTTCTGTTAGAAATTAGAAATTTGTTTTACAACAAGAATTTGTTTTTCTAGTGGGAAACGAGAGTAATGAAAGAGACAGACAGAAGAGAAGATATAAAAAAGTAAGAAAAAAATAATAGACACAGTACAAAAAGAAGTAGTAGAGAAGAATTAGAAGAAATGGTTGAAAAATTGTGTGTATAAGTGTGTGTGTGTTCTTGGAAGGAAATGAAAACTAGCGAGTTTAAAATGAGAAGTTTTTAAAAAAATCCTAAAGTGTTTAAAAGAGTTTATGATATATGTATCTAAAATAATACTAGGTAGATTTTATATTTACGGCAATAAAGCAAATTAATAATAAAAAGTACTTTTCGTACTTCAATAGGTAATTTTTATAATAACACTATTCAAGGAAGCTCTGTGGAACTTAGAGCAAACACCATGAATTTTGATTCAAAGTTCAACACAAAACACTTTTAGTTCACTTAAGCACATATTCATTTGAAGTACTACAAACAGTACAATGTTCATGGTATACAACTCAACAATCTAGCTTATAGTCTAGTCTACATTGTAGTCTATAGTCTAGTTTATAGTCTAGTCTATAGTATAGTCTAGTCTAGTCTAGTCTATAGTCTAGTCTATAGTCTAGTCTATAGTCTAGTCTATAGTCTAGTCTATAGTCTAGTCTAGTCTAGTCTATAGTCTAGTCTATAGTCTAGTCTATAGTCTAGTCTATAGTCTAGTCTATAGTCTAGTCTATAGTCTAGTCTATAGTCTAGTCTATAGTCTAGTCTATAGTCTAGTCTATAGTCTAGTCTATAGTCTAGTCTATAGTCTAGTCTATAGTCTAGTCTATAGTCTAGTCTATAGTCTAGTCTATAGTCTAGTCTATAGTCTAGTCTATAGTCTAGTCTATAGTCTAGTCTATAGTCTAGTCTATAGTCTAGTCTATAGTCTAGTCTATAGTCTAGTCTATAGTCTAGTCTATAGTCTAGTCTATAGTCTAGTCTATAGTCTAGTCTAGTCTATAGTCTAGTCTAGTCTATAGTCTAGTCTATAGTCTAGTCTATAGTCTAGTCTATAGTCTAGTCTATAGTCTAGTCTATAGTCTAGTCTATAGTCTAGTCTATAGTCTAGTCTATAGTCTAGTCTATAGTCTAGTCTATAGTCTAGTCTATAGTCTAGTCTATAGTCTAGTCTATAGTCTAGTCTATAGTCTAGTCTATAGTCTAGTCTATAGTCTAGTCTATAGTCTAGTCTATAGTCTAGTCTATAGTCTAGTCTATAGTCTAGTCTATAGTCTAGTCTATAGTCTAGTCTATAGTCTAGTCTATAGTCTAGTCTATAGTCTAGTCTATAGTCTAGTCTATAGTCTAGTCTATAGTCTAGTCCATAGGCTAGTCTATAGTCTAGTCTATAGTCTAGTCTATAGTCTAGTCTATAGTCTAGTCTATAGTCTAGTCTATAGTCTAGTCTATAGTCTAGTCTATAGTCTAGTCTATAGTGTAGTCTATAGTCTAGTCTATAGTCTAGTCCATAGGCTAGTCTATAGTCTAGTCTATAGTCTAGTCTATAGTCTAGTCTATAGTCTAGTCTATAGTCTAGTCTATAGTCTAGTCTATAGTCTAGTCTATAGTCTAGTCTATAGTCTAGTCTATAGTCTAGTCTATAGTCTAGTCTATAGTCTAGTCTATAGTCTAGTCTATAGTCTAGTCTATAGTCTAGTCTATAGTCTAGTCTATCTGGTCTATTCTATAGCCTATTGTCTCGTTTTGGCAAATAAATATATATATATATATATATATATATATATATATATATATATATATATATATATATATTTTTTTTTTGTAAAATTGCTGTTGAAAGTGATAAATGGAGCATATGATAGAGAGTAAAAGAGAGCAGAGTGGTGGCAAAATCATAGAAAATAGAAAGATTATTGAGAAAAAGTCAAGAGACTTATTAACTATTCATCAAAAGAGGAGCTTTATAATAATATTTAAAACATGTACTAAGTATATATTAGAAGTTCTTAACACATACTAACAGAATATTAAAGGATGGAAATTTCGAAAGCACCAAAAGTCCATAATAATTCTCATTTAGTTATTTATATTTTATATTACTATACAATTTAATAACATTAATATTTACACATAGATATAAAATTCAATTACTGAACAAAAACATTATTTATAAAATATAGACAAAAAATAATAAATTTATTAAAAAACATTTAAATTGTTTTAAAAACAAATGTTAGCGATAGAAATGTAGCGGAAAATATTTATTTTTTTCTTTATATTTTTTTATAAACAACAAATAAAATTGCATCTAGACTATTTATATTTTATTATTGTTATTTGAAAATATTTGAAATTTCTTAAGGTTTTCATTAAAGAAAAAAAAGAAAACAATAAAATACTTAGATAGAATTTTTGTTAAATTTTTAAAATAATAAAAAAAAATTAAAATTATTTATGTTTTTTTGTGTAGGAGTGATGTTTTGTTTGTTTAAATTGTTTAAAATTTAAAAGAAGGTAGTAGCAGTGCCTTTGTGTTTGGTTGGTGGATGGGGACAAAAAGTTGAAATAAATATTAAAATATGTGTGTGTCGTCTGCTAATAATAATTCGTTTTTTTTTTTGCTAAATATTTTATTTCCTTACGTTATATTTTAAATTGGAAAATTTATGTTGCATACTAAATAATTTTGATTGAAAGAATCGAAGATAGATAGAAAAACAACAAACACACATAGACAAATGAAATTAGAACCATTAGAAAAAAACGTATAAATACAGCTGAAGATAGAGAAGAAAGAAAAGAAAATTCACATAACAACAAGCGCATATAAAAAAGATTTTAAACTGTTTTTTATTCTTTAATAAAGGAAACATTTTTAGGATTTTTTCGGTTGAAATTTTTTTTGAAAAGCATTTGATAATAAAAAAGTTAAATTATAACAATAAATTAGATATAATAAAAAGTTTATATAGTGCACATTATATAGTAGATAAAACGATTGTATACGTAAATATTTTAAAAGGTTTAAATCTAAATATTTGTATTATATTATTAATAAATAACTTAAATAGTTTATTGTTGTTTTAAAACACATGTTCTAAAGATCATAGTTTATTATTTAATTTATTATTCAAAGAAACATAAATATTTTATAGAGAAATCAAAACAACAAATAGAAACCACATTTCCCTGAAAAGTCCTAAAAATCTAGATATAAACCAGATACCTAAGAAGCTCATAATAATTTTCTTTTCAAGGAATTAATAAAGGTAATAATTATTAATAAAATGTGAAAAGAATTTACTACAGTCTAGACTATAAACTAAACTATAGACTAGACTATAGACTATACTATAGACTATACTATAGACTAAACTATAGACTAGACTATAGACTAGACTATAGACTGGACTATAGACTAGACTATATACTAGACTATAGACGAGACTATAGACTAGTCTATAGACGAGACTATAGACTAGTCTATAGACGAGACTATAGACTACACAGAGGGAAAAGGAAATATACACGCCTCGTACCAAATTGACACCAAAGAGTTTATAATTTTTCAATAACATCCGTTGTCAAAGTATATACATACGTACGACAACGCAACGATGTCAATATTGCCAACGGATGTGTATAAAATTTAGATTTCGACAACGAACTGTTGCAATGTTGTCAACATTACATAGTGTTGTCGTACGTATGTATATACTTTGACAACGGATGGAATTGAAAAATTATAAACAGTTTGGTGTCAATTTGGTACCAGGCGTGTATATTTCTTTTTCCCTCTGTGTAGATTATAGACCAGGCTATAGACGAGACTAAAGACTACACCATAGACTAGACTATAGACTTGACTATACACTAGACTATAGACTATGAATTTTGCAACTATAACACAAATATTAAAAATCCAAATTTTCCAACAAACAACCCTCGTTATTTAGAACTTAAAACGGCTGGCTACTTTCAATACCAATAATAACAACACTCTCATTAAGGCAAAAAAAAATCATAATCGCCCCATTATACAGAAATATATTTTGGAGAAAATATTAAACATTTTTTGTTCAAAATTTTTTACGTGAATATAAACAAACAAAGAATTAATAATATAAAAATAAATAAATAATTGAATACATTGTTATTAAAGAACATATTGGGGACTATGGGTTTTGAATACTGTTATTTTTACATTGTCAGCAATTTTTTCCAGTACACTTTTAGTATTTATATTGTCAGTAGTTGGAAAAAAAAATATTTGAAATTTTAGTAAAATTTTTTGTATATTGGATTATATGGTTCAAAAGTTACAAAGTATCTGTGTGCTGTTTATATTTTGTTATTATTTGCTAAATGTGAATTTTATGTGTCTGCGTTAAGTGTGAGAATGAGTTAGTGTAAGCAGTTTTGCATTTGTTTAGCTGTGAGTATATCTAAGTGTATGTAAAATGATGGCATGTGTTTTTCGTTTCAGTTTATTTTTCTATAGTAATAAATACATAAAAGTGTTCAGAGATCTTAAATTACAAATATGGTGCTAATTGAAATATCAAAAATAACAACAAAACTGCAGCAATACAGTAACAGAAATAAAATCATAGCAAACAAATATTTATATACAGTCATCTATAGATACAAATCTTTAAAAAACATATGTGTGAACAACAACAATAGTAAGAAAAAAGTTCACGATACAACTTGTAGATATAAACAGTGTTTATTGAATGTGACAAAACTTTAATGAAACAATTTTGACCTAAAAATCAAATATGAATCAAAAAATTTATGAGAAAATTCTCGGAATACAAATGTTTGTTAGCAAATTAATCAATTAAAGAAAACAGCAGTGAAATTAATGATATTAACTCTAGACTTAGTACAGTTTTACTTGAGAAAAATAAAGAAATTATGAAAA